GATTGAAGAATACCCCTATTGAAGCAGGTCTCAAGGTGGCCTAATGAGATTTTATCCTGTGATAGCAGACAATCGACCACTTGTTCGATGTTGTTGATCTTGACATCTTGTCTTTTGTTCCTGTTGGAGGAGTGCTTGTGGGGCAACCAGCTCGAGATGGGCAAGAGGCGCTGTGCTCAAACGGACTTGTGTTTTATTGCCCAAGACATATGGTGCGACTTGCAGCCCAACTATGTCACTATGTGATTTGAAGGTGGCGCCTCGAGCCATCCAAGGACTGGGAGATGCCACGCCATTGGATTCGATGGAACTCCGCGTGCTTGTCACTTTTGATCTATACATGCGCATCGTCAATTGCATCTACACAATGAACCTTGCTGGCAGGAAGTTCTGGCCAAGAGCAGTGTACTGCTCAGACGGAGGAGGCGGCTGCGTAAGTAGTTCGTTTACTGCAGGGGCGATGTAGAGGGATGATTCACAGTACGGGCGAGGCCCGAGCAGAACGATGTTGCGTGTCCAGTTGATTATTGCAGGTAGCTTCGGGAAGATCCAAAATTGAATCCAGGGAGGACCGCGCAAAAGATGCGGTGGGAGTGGGGTGCTCTTGCAGTGATGTTCTGAAGCATGGTGGTGCCGTCCCTCGAAGCACAGAATGGGCACAGAAGCACTTCACTGGCACCTTTGCACACTAGATTTCTTAGTGACTTAGTGTCCAAAGTGAACCAAGGTCTTCCGGAGAACTCGAACCCCCGCTCCGTCCGCTCCGCTCCCGTGGTTCGGTGCTGGGCGCACCCGGCCCGCTTTGGTCCCCGCGGTTCCCCCGAGCCGGTACCCGGTCCAAGGTTCCACATCCCACCGGTCTCGGACGTAACAGAAGTAACATGATAGGGAAAAACAAGAGAGAGAGAGAGAGAGAGCTCAAGGTCAAGTGAACATCGGAGGTTTCTGTTTTTGCTCGTTTGTTGAGTGGTTTGTTTGTGTTGACCGCTTCTGGCTTCAGGATCACCTCGTGGCATCTTGACATGCAACACCTCCCCCTGCGCACAGCAACTGTTCGATTGAGCGAGGTTGTTTGCATTCGGAGAACTCTGTTGCCCTGCAGCCAAGGAATTTATTATCAGACATTTGCAAGTGATCGATGCAAAAAACACTGGGAGGATCAGCGCGGACAAACTGCTTGGACCCCAAGCTCTTGCATCACAAGTGTGAAACAATAGTGACCAAGCTTGCGGAAGCAGAAGCTCTAGCAGTCTTTCACTTGGTGAGGTGCATCTTCTTCGAGCTACTTGGGATTGATGTGACTGATTTGAGCAAGGCTATTGCAGCTCATGACCGTGGCTCACAAGTTGGCTTGGAGGATTTTCAGCTGAAGTGAGAAAATGGAACCACAAAGTTCAATACTTAAAAGGAGAGGTAAAGAGGTAGTACAAGCTACTTCAGCTTGTGCAGTTTTTGTGATCAAAAACTAGGCTCGAGTCGACCGAAGCTTAAGCCCTGTGCCAATGATCCATTTGCGGTGTCCACGGACGCCTTGGCAGACCAAAACGATCATCGACTCAGATTCTACTGCAGTGGTGTTCATTAGCCTAGGGCGACCCCAATGTAGATGCGCATAGCATGTGACCCAATGTAAATGGGATCGCGCAGTTCTCAGCTTTTTTTCTTCTCCGCCTGCTTGAGCTCTTTCAACGCTTCGCCAGACTTAATGTTTGATTCCTTATCTCTCTCTCTCTCTCCCCTCACCAATGGTTTTTCTTTCCTACGCAAGTTGCCCTCTGCAATTTCATCTCATCCGCACTGGATGTAGACGATTTGGCATGAGGTGACCATTTCAGCGAAAGCATTTGGTTGTCATTTTGTCGTCCTTAGGTCAAATCTTCGTCTCATTTCCCCCATGGAGTTTCGTCAATGCTCCTTTCGCCCCCACTCTCATGGCAATTTTTTGCCGGTCATACGCCTGTGTTATTTGCAAAGCCCCTCCTAGCCGTTCTTATACTGCATAAAAGCAGACCTGCTGGCTAGCCGCTTCTTCCAACTCAATTTATATACAGACGTTAGGTTATCGGCCCCGACTCCGAAATGGTAACCTAAGCCGACTCTAACCTGTCACATATTTCGTGGTCAGGTTGGTCCTTGAAATCAAAGAGGTCCATAGCCTTTGGTTTTTCGTTGCTTCACAGAGTTACATGTTGGAGCCATGGAGCCCCAGGATGGGACTGTGGACTATGCTGCTTTTTTGCGGTGGCTAGTGTGTGGCTGACTACACCCTCCAAGAGATGACGACATGAGCCATCTAATTTTTATACTTTGGAATCTGTGCACCTCAAAGAGTTGCATACTGCGCTCTCAGAGCAGAAGCTGATTGCTTAGGATTTCGTTTCCCATTGCCACAAAGGCATTGGCACAGCTTGGCGCAAAAGTGAGGCAAACATTGTCTCTCAAAACAGCTGTCTCGCAAATGGCGACACCTAGTAAAAGCGCGTGGTAGGACACTGAGACCAAGGGGGATTGAATTAAAAGGTGCTGGGTTCCACAACCTTACGTTCCAATTCACTGCCGATTGAAACAGGCCCAATATCTAGATCTCAGAGACAGAATCATGATGTTGATGTGGCGAGGTTCGGCCTGGCATCACCCTCCGCTCGTGTCTCAGGATGTTGCCTTCAAACTCATCGCTCGCAGCTAGGGCTTTGCGGCAAAAAGCGGTCTCTCGCCGCGCCGGCATTCCTGGTGACTGTCAGCTGCTTCTGCTTTCGCCAAGCAACACATGTAACAAGTAGGCAAATAAAGTATTCTGGGCCAGATGCATGACTCATTGCATGGCTTCAGGCAACTCCAGTGATGCATAGCAGTCATTTGATATGAGCTCTCTTCTCTCCAGTTCACAGCAAAGACACGCTTCGTTTGTATGTTCAGACAACTGTTGTGCTCACGGAACTCTGCCAACAAGTCCTTGGAGTATGAATGGTTGTGTACAATAGATGTCTATGCCAGGTTGTGTCTAGGAAAATCGCTTTGACTCAAAAGATTTGCTCCAGCCTCCAGCCAACCCCCAACCGATGGCAGTTGTCGCATTTTCGGCTCAACTCTGAAAAGGCTGTCAGGAGTGTTTCACGTTGATCGCTTCAATTCAACCAAAAAGGATGAGCACAGTTGATTTGGTTGATGATGATGACATTCCCGACGAAAAGAAGGATGAGGATTCGGTTGTGGATGCCAGTGAGGGCAACAATCATCCGCCCCTTCACACTACCTTTGTGACGAAATTGCACAGAGGCGCAGCTGCAACTTAGCAAAAACTTTCGTTATCTTTCGTTCCTTGGCTAGTGGTCCTTATTGAGCAATGCTATTGTGCAATGCAAACAAGTGATGATGTTGCTTGAACTTTAGTTTCTGCAAGCCTTTCAATCTGAAGATGTGCCTCTATTTCATGACCGGGCCGAGCTTTTCAGGACCATATTTTGAGTTGAACTTCGGAAGTTGACACCGGAAGCGTCCGAAAAAACATGTTCTTGTTCAGCGGAGTGTCACGTGTAAGGACCTTTGCCAGAGCTACCACCTTTGCCATTCTTGTCCGAGCCAAGGCTCGTGCGCTCGAATACCGACCTTCCGTGTTTGCTTTCAGCTCTCTCGACGCTTCAAGATGGCACTGAACCCGAAATCCTTGAGGATCTTGGAGATGATGAGGTGGACGCAGTAGAGAGCCCCAAATCAACAGGTGTTGATGAAGCTGAACCTGAAGTGCCAACAGCTACAGCCCTTGAACTGATGGAAGCTGCAAAGCCTGAAGAGGCAACTCTTGATTTTGGAGAAGCGATGATGGCTTTGGACAACTACGTGAAGGGGCAAACTTCGGATGAGCAAGCCCGATCTCTGTTTGCGGCTCAGCTTCATACAGCTTTCCGAGTTGGTTGTTGGACTGTGATCTTGAGCTTGCCCATCATTGTGTGGCCATGGGCCAAAAGCCTTCAAGAGCTCAGCACTAGCCAACGTGAATATTTGGGGTACTGGGGGTCTATGCTTTTGCAGTTTATTTTCTGCATTGGCCCAACTTTCGGCGCGTCTGCCAAGTATTCGCTCGAGGGGTGGCTTGGCACTGCACTGGCCACCATCAACATGATTGTATTGAACAACGCCTTTGGACCCTACTTATCAGGGGGTGCCTTTCAGAATCGCATTGAATTCTTCGACAACGCGACGGGAACCGTTGTAGCCACTTCGAAGTGGTTGCCCTTGTGCAACACCGGAGTTGACTTGAGTTACAACGATTGCTATCTCAACATGAACACCGCCCTCGCAGAAGAGGCAGATTACAGCAAGGCCATCGTAGTGTTGATGGACTTTGTGCTTTTTGTCTTCGCCATGTTGACCTTTGGCTTCAACACGAATGTGCGGGTCTTCAGCATCTCCACACACGTGTTCTACGTGATGAGCTTTCTGGATCCATCCACCGGCTCCTTTGATATTCAACCCTCCCTGGCGACCAACTATTTCCTCATTGTCTCTGGAGCCTCTGTGGGTGTCTTGTTTTGCTTTCTGCTGCCAAGCCCCATCACCAGCACCTCTAAGGCTGGAGAAAGGTGAACTTCCGAATGAGTGAAGAGAATAAAGGGGTACAGTATATATATCACGAAAGCCAGCCGATAGGCAAGGCTTGAGGTTGCTGGAGCGAACGAAGTGAGTAAAGGGGGTGTGGGGAGGGGGTGGTCGCGAGGTGGCCAATTTCGGAGAGGTGAACCCAGAGCCTGGTGGGGGAGAGCAAAAAAAGAGGTGGGCCACTTGGTAGTGAAAAATGAGTGGTTTGAGGGGTGTTGTGATGCCGGTGATGTAACTGACGGCGAAGAGTGCATCATCAGCATCACGAGGGGCTCAGGAGGCCATGGAAAGAGAACAGGTTGTAGTTGCGGCTAAGCTTAGCGTTGCTGCCGGACTGAAGAGGGCACTCCCTATGTGGTGGGGGTTCACGTGGATTGGGGGGCTGTTGAGGGCAGGAGAGAGAAGAGATTGCAGCGGGCAAGTGTTGGAGGCGGAAGATGGCGGAAGGCTTTTTTGAGTTGCTTAGGAGCGCCTTTCGTTTGAGGTGTATATGTACACGAAGACATATGTATGGCAAGTGTGCCTATCCTTGGCAGTAAACCAACACAATTGGCCTGTAATGAGACCTTTCGACCCTTTCAATGTTTGGTCAGGCGGTCTCGCTACTACACACCACAGGCGCTGCAGTGGCCATGGTGTTGGAATCCTTGCCTCTGACACCTGCCGAGTTGTGCAGGTTGAAGGCTCAAGCGGCCATGGACGAGGTTGCAGTGCTGATGAAAGAGGCCGACCTGCATCTTTCGGTGTTGTGGTTTGAAGATTTCGGACTCTGGCCCAGACGTGCGAAGTACCGACGTTGGCTGCAGGCATATTTTGAGGTTTTGAAGGCTTCCATTCAGAACTTTGATGCCGTTCTCTGTGCGGCAGCTGCGTTGCCCGTGAAGGACAGTGAGCAGGTGGCAGCCATGCTGCCGTCGCTCCGCCAGGAGTGTTTCCTCCTGGCCAGTACTTTGAGGGCCCTTTTGGCAGTGAAGACTCCGGATGAAGTGAAGCCAGTGGTGGACGTTTTGTTGGAGAAGATGCAAACTCTCAGGAGTCAGCTGGAGCAGGAGTTCCCCAAAGGTCAACAGGCTGACCATTTGTTGCTACCACCAGCCCTTGTGTTTTGCCTTGCTGTGGCTGGGGTGGTTCAGGATGTGTCCCAGGCACTCTCCAGCTTGGCCCTGTATGGTGTGGAAGAGAAGGCCTCGATTTGTGCCAGGTTTTGCCGCTATCTCCAGTCGCTGCAAACCCATGCAGAGATTAAGCTCTACGAGCGAACCATCACTCACCCGAGGTTTGTACTGCGCTACACACTGACCCTAACAATTACATTCCTGATTGGTTGGCTCGGTGTGTCCAATGTCATCGCTCCATATTCATCCCAGCCGGCCTCCACCGTCTCCGTGATTATTTACACCTTCACCGCCGCCAGCTTGCCTTTAACCCTTCGGCGATTCAATGGAGTTTTGCTCGGAAAGATCCTTGGTAGTGTTGCTCAGCGGCTTTTTGCTGTGCAAACAGTTGTTCATGCCACGTTTTTTGCACTCTTTCAGCTGGTTGCTGTCACAGTCCTGGTGTTTCTGGCTTTCCACTCGAAGAAACATGGAGGGGTGGCATTGCTGACGGCAGCCTATGCCATGTCTGCGTTGCTTCCCAGTGATGGGATTTTCCGGGAACAAGCTGTCAAAGTCACATCCTCGGATGGCAGCTTTTTGTTTGTCACGATGGTGGGTACATTCATTGGTGTTGCCGTTCTGCTTCTAGTAGATATGATTTTGGCATCCAGTGCGAAGAGGCAAGCCAAGCAACGGCTTCTACGCGGATTGAAGCGTGTTTCGAGGTTTGCTGTTCAAGTCCTTGATCCAGAAGAAGATCCAGACACAGGCACAGCAGATGTCGAAAAAGGAGTGTCAGACCGGGAGGACATCTTGGCCAAACTTCAAAGGCAGATTTATGAAGATCTGGACGAATTGACCGGTTTGCTTCCCTACGCAGCTGACGAAACCGGCCTTGACGGGCGTCCCTTTCCAGTGGACCTTTGCAATGACTTGGAGAAGGGACTTCGCACCCTGACGCGGCACTTCAGGACAGGCTTGAGCTGCTGTGAGTCTGTTGAGCTGCTTTTAATATTGGCAAGTCCGCTCCCGAAGCACCTAGAAAAGATGTGCTGCGCCCAGCCAAACTTGGTTTTTGACATCTTTGTGCTTAATACTTCTGTGTGCAGGATTATCGCGTGGGCGATTCAATTGTTGGAGAAGCCCCAAAAGCAGGTCATTCTCAAGGCAGGTTCGAGGATCTACAAGGCAGCGATTACACCATCATCAAAAGTGGCACCACTTTTGCGTGATGAGCTCTTTCGACCAATTCTGGCCACCCTAGCTGAAGAGATGTTGAGGACATATTTTTGTTGGGACAGACCCGTTCAGAGTTTTTCAGGTCTTTTCGCATGCGCAAAGGCCTCAAGTGCTTTCCCTATTTTCCACTGAGTTGTTTCTTCCCTTCTATCGAAATCTATGCGTGTCTCCTCCACAAGTTTCATGTGTGGTGCAGGATGCTGGAAAACATCCGGGTTTTGGCAACTGCAAGTATGCAATCAACATGGCGTTCCAAGAAAGACATGCAAGATGACAAGGAGGCTCAGAAGGTGAGGGAGCTGCTGCGCAGCAAGCTGTACACGAAAACTGTAGGCAACGCCTTTTGCAGCATAGCACGCTCACCCTGGAAGATGGCCTGGAAAGGCGCTAGACGTCAGCAAGAGAAATCAATCTCTCCCTTGGCACCTGGCTTTGAAGCCGGGCCCGAGCAGCTTGTGAATCTTGCAGAACCTTTGAATCTGGACATGCAAGCACTTGATGAAGGTATGCGCTTACGCAGAAGTTCCTCCAATCCGGTTTTGGAAATGACGCGGTCCAAGAGCGAAACGATGGTGAAAGCTACCTCGTCCCAAGTGGCGAAGAGTGCTCTTGTTTCAGCGTCCAAGTATGGACAGTATGGTGCAAAAATCACTGCCAACAGGCTTTTGAAGCAAAAGCGTGCGATTGAAAAACTGTCGATGCAACTTTACAACGAAAAGCTTGAGGAAGAGATGCCCGTCAAGATGCCACATGTGGCTTTGCCACCCGTGACAGCGTTGGAGCCCGGCAGCGCCAAGCAAGGCGTTGCTGACAATTTCGCTCTGCGGCTCTTGCTGCTGTTTGACAAGCTACGAGAGCTCGCTTCGGCTCGGAGAGGAGCGGTGCCGGACGATGATCCCTTCTCGACCTTGGAGCTCATCATTTTTTTCCTGAGCTCTGTGCAGACACAGATACAGCACATGCAGGTAAGCCTGCTTGAGTTCAGCTAGTTTTTGGAGACTAATTCACTAAGCAACACGAAGCAAAGTACGCAATTGGATGTGAGGCGAGCCTTTTGAATTGATATCCAGTTGGCCATTGCTCGTGTGTATATAGTGGTCAATACAATACCTCATACATAATTCATTCAACACGGGAGCTCACAGCTGAAACGATGTGCCTAGCTCAAGCTGTGGGCTGCAGTATACACTTCCTGTATAGAGGATTTTGAATTCGATCACGAAGTGATCTTGAGGTCTTGCAGTCTGACCGTCTTGCACCCATCGGAAACTAGAGACGAAAACAATGCCCCACAAGTCCCACATAGTATATAGATGTATATAGTCAATTATTGGAGTGGGGGGCCTCACGTGTCTTGGCCTGTGATTTGAGGCGTCGTATCATTCCTTGGGTTGTATACATGCAGCGGTTGGCAGACCATGCGACGGCTCAAGCAGCCTCAGCCTCCCAGCGCCAGTTTCAGCTTTTCGCCCGGCTCCTGTATCAACTCGCATTGTAGCCGTTGCGCACGTGGTGACAGAGTGCCATTATAATTCTTGCTGTTATAAATTTTGGTATACTTTGACTTTTGGGTAACACGAACCTGTGGGTTCTGCTGATCCTGTTTGACAATGCTATCGTATAGACAATCAAATTTTTGCTTTTCAACTCGACCAGCCAAAGAGTGCCAAGGTGCAGTGACAAGATAGGGAGATGTGCAAGCACTGCAGGCCAAAGCACATGCAATCCACATGTTGTTACCTGTTGTTGCTCACTTTGCACTTGCAGCTCCTGTCACCTGACTGCAGTTTGAAACTCAAGATAGGCCTTGCGGGTGCTAGCTGTTCCTGTGAGCAGCTTAGCTGAGAACACACCGTTCGAACCTGATCAGGGTAAAGCCTGCGCAGGGATTTGGCCCACTTGCTTCAGCCACAAGATGTTTGCGCCACGTGTTAGCAGCAGCTTGTTGCGCTTCGCCCAACGGGCAGCTGGTTGTCGTGCTAAGTCAGCTTTGGTGTCCGCTGTTCCTTCGGACCCTGCAGCCTATGTTGCGAGCAAGTTGGCGCAGTTTGATGCAATGCAGTTCACTCCCATTCGTGAGAGCACAGTCAGCCGTGAGATGACACAGCGCTACATGACAGAGATGCTCGACTATGCTGAGACAGATGTGGTAATTGTGGGTGCGGGCTCCGCTGGGCTTTCCTGTGCCTATGAACTGACCAAGCATCCGAACATCAAGGTGGCCATTTTGGAGCAGAATGTCGCCCCTGGAGGGGGTTGCTGGCTGGGTGGCCAGCTGATGAGCTCAATGGTTGTTCGCAAGCCTGCCAATGAGCTCCTTGATGAGCTGGAAGTGCCCTACGATGACAAGGGTGACTATGTGGTGGTGAAGCACGCTGCACTCTTTATGTCCTCCGTTTTGCGAAAGGCCCTCATCGCACCCAATGTGAAGCTTTTCAACGCGGTTGCTGTGGAGGATCTGCTGGTGAGGCAAGAAGGTGACAAAGTGGGCGTGCGCGGTGTTGTGACGAACTGGTCCTTGGTAACCCAGAACCACGACACACAGTCCTGCATGGATCCCCAGGTTATGGAGGCAAAAGTTGTCGTCACAGCCACTGGCCATGATGGCCCTATGGGCGCCAGTTCTGCCAAGCGCCTTGAATCTCTAGGGGCCCTACCTGCTGGCTTGCCTGGAATGGGAGCGCTGGACATGAACACCGCAGAGGATGCAGTTGTGCAGATGACCAGTGAGGTAGTGCCAGGTCTCATTTTTGCTGGCATGGAGGTAGCAGAAGCCCGTGGCTGCAACAGGATGGGACCTACCTTTGGTGCAATGCTCCTTTCTGGGCAGAAAGCTGCCAATTTGGCTGTCCAAGCTTTGAACCGTTAGAAGCCAAGAGCGCTTTGAAGGTAGGCCTAAGATCCTGCCCTAGCAATGTTTCGGGCATGGTATGGCCATAGAGTTTTGTGTGAGAGTGCTCGCTCGTTCCGGAGCAGTGTCAAAGTCGAGCATGAAGAAACATGTTTACACATTCAGAGAAGATTGAGAAGCACACATTTCTGTTCGTTTGTTAAACAGTTTAGCAAAACCGATCAACTATCCAGCAGCAAGCAGCCAGGAAGAGTCTAACTCAAGTCCATTCCATTTGTTTTCTTGATTCCGTTGTGACCTAATAGCAGTTTGAAACTCAAGATAGGCCTTGCGGGTGCTAGCTGTTCCTGTGAGCAGCTCAGCTGAGAACACACCGTTCGAACCTGATCAGGGTAAAGCCTGCGCAGGGATTTGGCCAACTTGCTTCAGCCACAAGATGTTTGCGCCACGTGTTAGCAGCAGCTTGTTGCGCTTCGCCCAACGGGCAGCTGGTTGTCGTGCTAAGTCAGCTTTGGTGTCCGCTGTTCCTTCGGACCCTGCAGCCTATGTTGCGAGCAAGTTGGCGCAGTTTGATGCAATGCAGTTCACTCCCATTCGTGAGAGCACAGTCAGCCGTGAGATGACACAGCGCTACATGACAGAGATGCTCGACTATGCTGAGACAGATGTGGTGATTGTGGGTGC